TCGTAGGGCTCTGCCGCGAAGAGCAGGTACTGGTGCGTCTTGTCGGCCGTCTCCACGCGCTGCTCGTAGCCGCTCATGAAGCGGTGGCGGGGCCGCGCCCCCTCCTCGATCTCGGGGTACTCCACCTGGGGGAGGGGGGGGGAGGGTGGCTGGGGGTTGAGTCGCGATGTAATGACAATGCACAATGTAGCAAGCCAAGAGGGTCAGGGAGGGGGGGGCTAAGGCCAGCACTTGGGTTGCCCCTGTACACAGCAAGTCAGTGAGCTTCCGTCGAGGCGCCACGCACGCGCCCTTGCTGTGTTGCCCTGGCAGCCGCCTGGCCGTGCGACCTCAGTCGGCGAAGCTCGTCAGCAAACGCAGCCCTCGCCCGCCCTGTGAGCTGAGCAACAGGCCGCGGCCGCATGCGGCCGCGAGATGACGCCACATCCAAAACTCCTCGATTATCACAGGGATCTTCCCACCTGGAAGAGCAGCGAGCGCATGTGGGCCTCCGGGTCGTACTGCTTGGTGACGCGGTACCCGGGGCGCCCGATCTTGACTGCGACGAGGGCGAAACAGAGTGCAGCGGGAGGGGCGGCCGGGCAGGCGGTGAGGAGGACGGGCCGTGGGAGCCAGGTTGCTCAATTACAGCAGCCCGCTGACAGGAGAAGCCGAGCTCCGACCCAATTCGAACGCCAGGATGCCAGAGCCAAAATGCCAACGCCGCTCTGCCGTCACCACGAGGGCTCCCGGCTCTGCCGGGCGTTCGAGCAGCCAGGATTGGAGCAGAGCCCTCCGCGCGCCCGCGCGCCCCCCTGCGCCGCGCCTGCCCCTCCCACCTGTCTTCCGGACGCTGACGCGCTTGTTGGGCGCGGGGGCCGCGGGCTTGTCCGACGCCTCCTTGGCTGCGCGCTTGGCCAGGTTCTGCTGGTGGCGCTTGCCCTGTGCACGGCAAGGGGGTGGCGGTGGGGGCGCAAGTTGGGTCGAGCTGAGCTTTGCACACGCAGCTGCGGTTGTGGCGGCGCGCCTGGCTCAGAGTTACATCTGTGGTGCGCATGTCATGGGGCGTTCGAAGGGAGGCGCTTCTGTATCATTAGGCAAGAGCTTGCACACGGACGCCTTGCGGCAAGCTGGGCGTGCGAGCCCTGGGTGGCTGGCCCTGGGTGGCTGGCCGCAGCGCAAGAGCACGCGCGAGTGCGCCCCGCCCTGCTGACCTGTGTGTGTGCGAGGTAGTTGCCCTCGTTAGGGTGCAGCGTCAGGCACAGCCGGCACTCGATCTGGAGAGGAGGAGTGGAGTTGGGAGCGGTGTGAGGTGGGCCGGGTGGGGTGGCGGGAGCGATTGGTCAGAGGGGAGAGGTGCCCGTGGCGCGGCCGACTGCTGGCCGCAAGCACCTCATGCACCACTAACGCGGCATGCGTGTTCAAGCGGGCAAGCACCAGCATCCAGTGGCTGCCGCCGCCCCCAGCAGCACTGGTAGAGCACCCGCCTCTGCATAGCAATCAAGCAGCCCCTGCAAACCCCCAGGTGCCGCGCGCGCACCGCCTGACCAGCACTTGTGCTTGCTATTCGCCTCCCCCTTCTCCCCCAAACACCCCTCCCCTGCTGTCTCGATCCTCTGCATTCAATTGCTGCCAGCGCCGAGCAGGCTCAACAACAGTCACGGCCGGCGGTGCCCGCACCTGCCCGAGGTGGTTCCTCATGTAATACGGGTCCTTGGCCAGATCGATCGTCTCCAGGGCCAGCCGCCGCAGCCGCTCCCGCCTGTCAATCGCCTCATTCTGCGCGCTGGCCACGCCGCCGGAGCCCGGCTTGGCGCCGTGCTCGCGCGCGCTGAGGAAGCTCATGGTTGCGGCTGCTGCTGCTGCTGCTGCTGCTCGCGCGGGGCAGTGACGTGCGCGTCACGTGCCGCTGCCGCGCGCTGCGGGGCGCCGCCACTTGGCAGGGGACACCGCCGGTGCGCTGCTCCCGTTGGCCCGCCAACCCCGACTGGATGCAAGGGACTCCACAACCCTTCGGCAGTGGGGGACAGGCCGCCCTGCTAATCCGCTGGCACTGTCACGCCACCAGCCTCCCTCGGCGCGCAATCGGTGCAGCAGCAGCGGCTTGCTGCCGAGGCCTGGAGCGTCGCCGTCGAGCTCGTGTGGGGTGGTGGGTAGCAGTAGGCTCTACAAGCTGTATGACGTTAGTCTTCAAGGCTCGCAAAAGCCTGAAGCTTGAGCTCAGTGCTCAGATCGAGAGGTGTGAGTGAAATGCGAGCCCTGGCCTGACACAATTGCAGGTGATCAACAACAACCTATTAGTATTTTGCCAGCATAAGCACCCGATCCTAAGCCCACAAGAAGTGTCGCTAGATCGCTTGCAGGTGCCAAAGTCACCGTAGTATCATCATCGTCATTTGTGTTGTATGCAAACACATTCTAAACACAAATAAGTGATCATCCGACCACGGCAGGGCGGAGGCGCCGTAGCGTGCCGGACCACACTGCAGCTGTGTCGAGGACGCACAAGGAGCACAGCCCGCCGCGCGCGCAAGGGTGTGAGGCAGCAACCGGCCAGCGGTTCTAGCTGCCAATGCCATGGATTGAGCTATCACGGCGGCTGCAGCGGCTGGCACAGCTCAGGGACCACGGCCGTTGACCTTCGCGGGTGTCTGTCCGAGGCCTGAGCCTGTGCGGGCCACGCCCGACTGCGGCATGTCGCCCATGGACCATGAGCAACAAGCTGAGGAGTTTGAAACCCTAAAAGCCATCTACGGTGATGATGTCACGCTATTACTCCAGGAGGGCACCATAGAGGTGGGCATGTGCGGGTCACCGCACCAACAGCACTGACACCTGCCCATACAGCGCCGTGCACCCGCCCCCTGTCGCACCTGCTGGCGCGGTCTGCCCAGAGCCTCATGGACCCAAGCGTGGGCCCCAAAAGTTGCCAAAGCGTTTGCTCTACACCAACCGCCAAAATGCCACAATAAATCCTCTCCAACCGCCAAAATGCCACAATAAATCCTCTCCAGGTCTGCATCCCCTGCCGCGAGGTGCAGCCGCACGCCGTCGCTCGCGCGACATGCCCGGTCGACTACCCAAGCGCGTCGCCGCCTGTTGCGGAGGTGGTTGCCCCCCACCTGCCGCCCGAGCTCATCTCAGAGGCGGCCGCGCAGCTGGAATCCCTGTTCGTGCCCGGTGCGCGTTCCCATCGCATGCATGCTCCTTCATATCACGCTTCCTTTCAATTGCCCTGCAGAGCACAGGGACCCTCCTGCATGCAGCGGGCAAAATGGCAGGGATGCCCGTCAATGCACTCATGATGTTTCCATGCTTTTCATGTGCCCTTGGGCCCTGCTTGAGTTTCTGGGAAGGAAGCGCGGTGGGCCGCCCGCTGCCGCGGAGCACGCCGCCAGGGACTGTCGCCGTGCCTGCTGACTGAGCGCCTGACGACCCCGCGCGCCCGCCGCACGCCGCAGGGGAGATCGTGTTGTTCTCGTGGATTGAGTGGCTGCGGGAACGCCATGTGGACTGGCAGCATTGGCAGCAACAGCAGCAGGAGGAGGAGGAAGAAGCGGCGGCGGCATTGGCGGCAGCGGTTGCCCGGGGCCACATCGGCAACAGCGGGAGCGGCAGCGAGGGGGACGCGAGTGAAACGGAGGAGGGCAGCGGCAGGGAGGAGGCCTCCGTTGCTGGGGCGTTGGCGCGACGGGTGAGTGCGGTGCGCGGCGGGATCCGCGTCGCACGCTTGGCGGCCGTGCGGCTGAGTTGCTTGCTCGTGAGGTGCGACATCGCCGCATCCACCGCGCGTTGTGGCTGGTCCAGTATGCTATTCGCATATCTGTGCACCCCCATAGGAGCGACAGGAGGCCGCGGCGGCGTCTCGTGGCGGGGGCGACGGCGACCTCGAGTCTCTGATGGCGGCCGTCGCGCCGCGCATCGTGTCTGGCGCGCCGCTGACGGAGCGCAGGAGCACGTTCCAGGCTCACGTGTGCCGCGTGACAGATGCGAGGGAGGTGGAGGCCGTCATTGCGGTGCTGCTGCAAAACAACAAGTGAGTGGTCTGGAGTGATCCAAGGGTGCGTGTACGTCCAGGGTTGTGTCGGGACAGTGTGGCATTGACAGTGTCGCATTCCACATATGCCAGTTGGCAGCAAATCCGTGCAGAGGGGCAGAGAGGATTGGCATGCAAGAATCTTGAAGGGAGTGTCGAGGCGCGGTCAGTGTTGCACGGAAAGGGGCGCACGCGCCCGCTCGCTGACAGAGCTGTTGCGCCGGGCGCGCGTGCCACGTTTGCGCGCCCGCGAGGCGGCAGGGTGCGCCCGACAGTCGCTAGGTGGCGGGGCCGACTGAATGGACGCTGCAGCAGCATCCCACCTCCGACCGGCCTCACCCTGGTGCTGAACTTGTATCACCCTTCCCCCTCGCCCCTTCATGGGTCCTTGGTGCGAGCAGGATCCGCGGCGCCACCCACCCCGCCATAATGGCGTACCGCATCTCCACCCCCCGGCCAGGGGTGTACCTCCAGGTGGGCCCCAGCCTCACGCTCGACACCCCTCCCCTACCTACCTACCTACCTACCTACCTACCTACCTACCTACACACACACACACACACACATACACACACACACACACCTGTAACGCCGCACCACTGCACCATTCATCGCGCGTTGCGCCCCTACGGCTTCCACTCCTCGCATTCTTTGTGCGTGGAGTGAAGCTCAGTCCTGTGACCGCGCTCTCCTCAAATTGTATTTGGTCATGTGGCAGCCGCTGCCCCAAGCTTGTTTGGTGTTGTGGGGTGATGGGCTTGCATCGACAACCGACCTTACACGCGGCATCAGCACACCGAGAAGCAAGGAGCAAGCCCATACCCATCGCAGCTGCCTGACGCCTTCCCACCTGTCCCCGGAAAACCAGGACTGCGACGACGACGGCGAGGACGCCGCCGGCGGGCGGCTGCTGCACCTGCTGCAGCTGGCCAGGGCGGAGGACGTGGTGGTGGTGGTGTCCCGCTGGTTCGGGGGCGTCCTGCTGGGGCCGTCGCGCTTCGGGCTGATCAGCAACTGCGCGCGAGAGCTGCTGGTCAGCACCGGCTTCATAGCCGGCGCCGGCGAGGGCGGCGGCGGCGGCGGCGGCGGCAGGAAGAAGGGGAAGGGGCGGTGACGGACGCGGCGCCGCGAGGCTGCCGGCGGCGGCGGGGCGGCGCGTCCATGCGTGAGGGCTGCAAAGAGCTCGTCCTGCCTATGCGATTTTGCACCGCAGCCTGCCTGGGGTGGCTGGCCCCTACCCGGGGGCGCGTGCAGCGCTGCCCCCGCTGTAATATTCACGCTCGTCCTCGATAGATGATTTACAATGTTGGAGCAGGGTTTGGTGAGCAGCGCCCACCACCCCGCCCCCTAAGTCAGTGCAAGCGCTGGTGCTTGTGTGCGTATGTATGCGCAGCGTCGCACGGCCGGGCGCGGCAACCGCGGCCCTGACAGGAGCAGCAAGGTGACCGTCTAAGGGGGCCCCCCCCGCCGCTCCTCAGTCGCCGCGCCGTAGGCGGGCGCGGGGGGGAGGGGGGCCGAGGCTCAACAGGGGGTTGCAAAGCGGCGGGCGACGGCTCTAAAAGCGCCGCTGGTGTTGGTGGGTGTCGCTTTCACAGTTTGCCTAGTGTTTATGTGCCTCCCTCCAAACATTCGCGGCCGCTCCTGCCGCCAAAAGTCTTGCGTTGATCAAGACACGCGAGGTCGAACAACCCACGCCGCCCGCAAGCACCACGCATCGGTCTATGCGCCTGCGTTCGGCAGAACGCGGGCGCTTGAGAAAAGGGCTACAGAACACTCAGAACAAGTGCCTGACAGCACACAAAATCGTGCCTGGCCGCTCTTCCCGGCGTGAAGCAGCAGCCAGGCGCCCCCGACAAAGGCCCTGGAAGCCCGGGGGACGCGCGCGCGCTAAGCAGTTCTCAGGGCACAGGGCCGCAGGGGATCAACCTGGCCGGCCGGGAAGCTGCCGAGCCAAGCATTGCAGAGACGCGCCGGCCCGCGCGCGCGGCCGGGCAGGGCCGAGACTGCTCAGGCTGGGCGGGCCCAGCAGCAGGGTTTGCAGGGAGCTCGGCTGCCGCGGCTTATGTTTGTGTGGCCGGCGGCTGCCAGGGCTGCATGGAAATGCACCCGTTGACATGGCCAAGGCCGCCCTAAGAAATGATGAGTGATTTTCGCGGAAAGAGCGGAGCGCAGGGGGCGCAGGGCGCGCCGGCGCGTGCTGGCGCACGTATGGGGCCGGGTCAACCCAGGACAGATGGGCAGACGGGCAGTCGCGCCAGGTCAGCAGGGCGAGCCGCCCGGAAATGAGGCCCGGCCGCCGGTAGGCCGCCGCTGTATTGAGCCGCGGCGGCAAAAGCATGGACGCCGCGGCACTTGCCGCGCGTGGGATGAGTGGGTTCTGGGTACAAAGCAGTGCAGCTCTGGTCATGGAAAAGAGGAAGAGCTGCATGTTGGAGGGCTTGACCAGGTGGCGACAAGCAAACGGCTCCGCAGGGGCCGCTCGTGTGTTTTGCCGCGCGCTCCGGAGCGCCGGCCTAGCTCAAGAATGCTAGGGATCCAGGCGTGGCACGCTCATTGGGGTCAGAGGCGCGCAGAAGGGGGCGCGGCGCGGGCGGCGCATTCCTGTGTCAGACATGCCTGCAGACGGCGCGACGCCCGCGGCACCCTTGCTCTCGGACTGTTGACACAAGAGACGAAAAGAGTGGTCAGGGGCGCTGGCGTGCCACCCTTGGCGCGCGCAGGGTGCCGCGGCCGTGCTTTGTGTCGCGTGTTGAGTACTATGTGTGCGGCCCCAGCCGCGTGTCCCACCAGTCCCTCCTGCAAGGGAGCCGTTCCGTTGCCCAGCCGCCGCGCTTGCAAGGGCAGGCGGCAGAGGCGCTCTCGTTGTCTCCCTCCCTCCCGCCCTCGGACCCTCTCGCTCCGCTTGGCGGAGGGCGCCGCCACGCAGCACCCGCAGCTGCAGCGCTGGTGTGCCGGGCGGCGCCCGCCACCGGTCGCCTGTCAAGGCCGCTCAACCAGCTTCATCCGCGCTCAGGTCGCTCTCACACATGTCACTTCCATCACTTGCAGCAGCAAAAGTATCTCGCGGCCTTGTTATGCACTAGAGCCCAGCCCCAGAGCTGTGCGCGCACGTGTGGCACGCCTGAAAAAGAGACGGCAGCGCAAATGCGCCGCGGCGCGGTCAACCCCGCCGTGGCTGGCTGCGCGTCACGGGGCGCGCCCCGCTGCCATCGCGGCGGCTGCCGCCGCCGCCATCGCCGCCGCCGCCGCCGCGCCGGGCGCGGGCACGGGGCCGGCGTGGGGCGGCAGCGGCAGCGGGGGCGTCGGCGGCTGCGCCTGGGCAACCTGCAAATGCTGCGGCAGCGGCGGCGG